AACGCCTGTTTGCTGTGTTAACAGGCTGGATGCCGCGCACTAAACTAGTCACTTTACCTTCAATTATGTTCAATAATTGTTAAAATGACTAAAAAATTGAATATTAAACTTTTAAAATTATTGAATAGTATAAACTTCTTGATATTTACTAAAATAGTAAGGAATTTAAGCCCTAGAACTGATTAATGTATTGGCGGACTGATACTAAAGCTGGTTGCCCGGTCAGTGCAAGCGAAAACATGTTGAGGTCAGTTCGTAAGAAATTCGTTAACCGAATTTTTGTTCGTTAACCGAATTGAAGATCCTTATGGAAGGCAGTTCGTTAACCGAAATTTCGTTAACCAAGGCGTTCGTTAATTGAGGGGTCACTGTACATCTAAAATCATTTAATTTAAGATAAAAGAAGAAATAAAATGACAAAAATACAGTAAATGAAAGTAAAAATAAGTCATCGGGTAAATGAAATACAATACTGTAAATATCAAGTTTAACCTCGTTCGTATCAGCGTTCGTTCGTAAGTCAGGGCCCCCCTGTAGCGTTTTATTTATCATGGCTCACAGGATTGCTATGTGAAGCACTGGCAAGATGCTGAGTAAGGGAACACTGAGTTGTTTGATATCCCACTTTGATCTGATGTCAATGGAATGAATAAAATGTTAAATGGATCGGTTTAGTACAGTATTTCTTCTTTGGATAATATACCTCATAAAAATCAAATTCAATGAAAACAAAACATCTCAAAATAAATTTCTCTATGTACAGTACAGTGGTGTTGCTGTTGGGGAGTCACTAAAAAAATTAAAAGGAAGAGCTTGCATAGACGAGTATCCTGCATTCACAAAGCTTACCGTATTTGCCGGCATATAAGACGCATTTATCTTTTTTTAATGTATCACAAATTACCCTGCGTCTAAAGTGCCCGTATTACGGATGGGAGGCTGAGCGCCATAGGAGGAGGTGCCTAGCTAAGGAGTCTGGGATGAGCAGTAGTCCACTAAGCACAAGAATTGTGTTACTAATAATATTACTAATACAGTGGTCCCTCGGTTAATGAACACCTCGATTAACGAATTACCTTCCATAAGAATCTTCATTTCGGTTAACGAAAAAAAATTCGGTTAACGAAATTCTTACGAAAATGTTTCGACATGCTTTGGCTTACTCACCAGCTGGAAGATTAGTCCGCCAATACAGAAATCGGTTCTAAGGCTTACATTCGTTAAAATTGGAGTAAATATCAAGAAGGTTGTACTATTCAATAATTGCCCAAGTTTTATACGTATTAAAATTATTAGTCATTTAACACTTATTTAACATAATTGCAGTACAGGGAACTTGTCCTTGGTGCGCCCATCAGCCACTTCACTCACCCACTAAGGCCTCAGTTTGTCTCTGTTCAGCGGAGGAAACATCTTGTTTGTGGGTCTCTTGAGCACAGAGTATTTTTATGTTTTTACAGTACAATTATTGGTCATTCTGAAATTTATTTAACATATTGACAATGTATAGTGCAGTGTTGATTTAAAGAAAATAATCTTGAATTACACCGAGTGAACTTAAAATTTTATGGGTGAAATGACGGCATCAAGCATGGGGTGATTTCTCATCCACCCCCACTTCCTTCCCTTCTCCCTTCTCCTCCACCCCCACTTCTAATTCCCATCATCATCATCAACCAGGAGCCTTCTACATACACACCTCAAAGTGTACTTTACTGCATTTTTTTTAGTTTGTATGTAATTTTCGGTGAGCTGGAACCAATTTCCCAAAATCCCATTGAAACAATGGTTTCGGTTAACGAACGACCTTCTGGAACGAATTGTGTTCGTTAACCGAGGGACCACTGTAATAAAATACTGAAAAACAAGCCAAATTATCACAATCTTTTATAAAAAACTTACGGCAAATTTGCCAAGACGTAAATAATGGCTTACATTGGCTTAACAGCAAAGGGAAGCTCACAACATCTCACTGTACCTCCTTCTCCAGCATACGTAACCCACACCAGATACATGTCTTACATTATTTAACGACTGTATTACCTTTAAGAAACATTTGTTTATTATCTAAATGAAAAATAACCCCAGAAAGATTAAAGAAATGTTAACAGAAAGCTCAGCCGCCAGTCAGCCATTTGCAATGAGTCGATGACGCCAAAACAATAGCAATGGCCGATCACAGCAACACAAAACATCACAGCCCAAAATACGAGTTTCACATCCTGACGGTAATTCTCTTGACCAAAATATAAACAAGCCACACAGCTGCTCTGATCAGAGGTAGAGTTGGGTTAGTATAATGATACTATATACAGTATGATTTTCTACTTGATTCCAGTATATATTGTATTTACATGCACAAAATCATATGTTTTCCCCTACAAAACCACTTTCAATAATTGTATGACGAAATATACTAAAAAAAAATTTCCACAAAATATCCTTGTAAAATAGGGGCGAGTCTCATATGCCGGCAAATACAGTATGTTAAAATAACAATGTTCACGTGTGTGGTTTTGTTTTACAGATAATACAATTTGAGATAAAAATATTTAAATCCTTTCTTTTACCCAATAATATCAATACACCAAATAGCAACTGTAAGTGTACGAGGTCTTCAGTTATCTTTAATGAACGATGACTATAACTACCTAACCTAACCCCAAGGTACACCAGGCCACTGACCCACATTGGGGCCTAGGGGGCAAAAATGTAATAGTAATAATAATAATAATAATAATAATAATAATAATAATAATACTAATACTAACACTAATAATAATAATTCATAGTAAATTAAATTTTTAATAAAAAATAAAAAATTGAAAATAAAGTAAAGATAATAATGATGATGATAATAATAATAATAATAATAATAATAATAATAATAATAATAATAATAATAATAACACTAATAATAATAAGAAAGAAAAAAAAATCAAAAGTGAGAAACAATATACTGTACATACTGTATGTATGTTGTGTTGTCAATAGTAATACAGTAGAAACAATTGAGATCAGCAACCTGAGACTTGATCACATAAGCAGCAGGGTCCATCATTAGACAACACATTATTCTTCTAATATCTTCCCATGCAGTAGTACAGTATTTTGTTTCTCTTTCAAGTACCAAACTAAATTATTTCATTGAAACAACATTTCGATTTAGTGCGAATTCGGTTTAAAGTGATCTCTCTTGGAACATATCTCGTGTTATATCGACGTTCTATTGTACAATTATCGTTTCTCACTCTTGATCTTTTTTTTTCCATTTTCGTATTTCTTTATGGTTCTTTATTATTAATTTTATTATTTGTATATATTTTTTGTATAATTTTATTTTATTTCATTTTTTTTAATTATTATCATTACATTTTTGCCCCCAGGCCCTGATGTGGGTCAGTGTAAGAATCGTCGAAGGTGGAGTTAGAGGAGAATAAGGTGCCAAAGAGATTGGCTTTATCAATAGGGGTGTTGGCTATAGAGTTATCAAGTCGGAAAAGAGGAGGAACAGAGGGAGTGCACAAGTTATTAAAGAAGTTTTTGGCTAAGGACCAGAAAGATTGGTAATGTAAGAGAACACCGCTACCACCAGAAGGAGTTGTTCAATTTGGGTCATCTTTTCCACAGATGTTCTTATCACTATAGTAAATATTTTAAACGATGTGGCATTTACTAGAACCTGACCTAAACAATCAAAGATACCTACCTAACATTACTTAACTTCCTAGTTAGATTTAATTGACTGCGGCTGCCCCCCGGCACATGCGTGGGAGGTAAGCGAATGGGGTCCGACTAATTACCCAAATGTAGCCGCAATGAAGTCAAATAATGGTCCTACATGAATAAATCGGACTGCCAATCACTTCTCGACTGGTATTTGGTGTCACGAAGTCACAAAAAATTGGTAAACTTAATTTAATCTGAGTTAATAGATCGAGTACATGTACCTAACCTAACCTAACACAACTCAGATTAAATTAAGTTTACCAATTTTTTGTGACTTTATGACACCAAATAATAATTGAGAAGTGATTCACAGCCCGATTTACACATGTAGGACCATCATTTGACTTCATTACGACTACATTTGGGTACATTTGGGTAATTACTCGCTTCCTCGGTACATGCACGCGATCTATTAACTCAGATTAAATTACGTTTTCCAATTTTTTTTTACTTTGTGACACCAAATACTAGTCGAGAAGTGATTGGCAGTCCGATTTATTCATGTAGGACCATTATTTGACTTAATTGCGGCTACATTTGGGTACATTTGGGTAATTAGTCGGACCGAAGAGAACGTACGAACACACACAATTTGAGCAAAAGCGTAGGGGCAACAGGTGCTCTGATTTTATTCTTTTTAAAATTCAATAACTTCCTAATGATCAATTTGTGACGGAAGTGTAATACTGTATAAAAAAATCTGTGGTTGCTGTAAACTGCAACATTACCGTTTTACGAGAAAGACAATCATTCTATCCATTTAATACATATCCCTGGTCCTTCCACTTCTAACTAAGGTATTGTACTTGAGACATGGCATGCCCCCCATAGTTTTAAACTGATGAAACATTTAGGTTAGGTTAGTTTAAGCTAGGCCTACCGGGGGTCCAGGGGAGTTAGGTTATATGAATCGTTTTCGTCTTCTCCCCCACCTAAAAACCCTGATTTCTTAGGTTCTCCCCCATTATTGTGTGGGGGGCAAAAACGAGCAATTTCTGTCAAAAATTAAGGTCAGATTCGCTTAAAATACACCAAAATATACTGGAACAACATATTGGTTAACCCCTAAGGTCTCATGTCAAGTAAAAATGCCCTATATTTTGTTGTAATTTTGCCCCATCAACGTATTTCATCTAACATTATCCTGAACAACTTTTAAGAAAAGTTTCTTATAAATAACGAATAAGCTGGAAGGAAATGCTGACCTGAAAGATTATGTGACTTAATACAAGAGAAGGAGTGTGGTGCTCTAGGTGGTGCTCCAGTCATACCTGCTTCCCTGTTGGGCTCCTAGACGTATTTTTCTCTTCTTGATGAAGTCGTCGAGGCTGGTGTCTGTCCCTTTACCGTGTTGGACGTCCTCACCTCCGCCAGAGTATGTTATTTTCCTCTGTTTAATGATCTGGTCCAGGCTGGAGTCCGTGACTTTCCGTTGGGTGATGATATCATCCAGAGTCATGTCGGCCATGTTTGTTTGTCACCAGTCAACTGAGGGTAGTTTACAACTATCTTAATTGTAAAAAAAATACCTGATTAAATTATTATCATATCTAATAAATATCATCATGGGTAAATGGTTAAATTGAGTAGTATTAAGGATATTTAATACTAAGGAGGAGATAAGTGCTCATGTGATTGTTGTTGTTTTGGTGAGCAGGACAACGCATTTTGGCCCTGGACTCACCGCGTCACATTACTCATAATGTCCAACGAAGAAAAGGAAGGTGATTATGGAACAAGATAATAACTTTTTATTCTCGGTATATTTGATTCCATGTCAAATGTCGTTTGGACCAAGATATATGACGTATCTACGTTGATAAAGGGAGTTATTGCAACATGATTTCATGCCAAGGAAATCAGCTGTTTCATGACAAGGCACATGGACAGGTGACGTTGGCTGCCTTACCAACACCCAACCTTTCCTACTACTTATCAAGAATTTTCTTTATAACTTTAGAATAATTCTTTAGTACTCTGAAACCTTAATCATCTTGCTGGTATTTTCTAGAAGGAAATGAAGAACTATCCACTTAGTTGGCAACTAAATAGTTCAGTTATCTTTGGCAGAACTTCCAGTTGTAGTTAAAAGCATGGTAATATTGCAGTAAACAGCAAAGTATCACATTTAAACTACTGATGCTTTGTATTTAGGTAGCTGTTATTTCCTAAACAAAATATGGCGGATGACACCAAAATAGGGCTGCAGATTAATTCAGGGCAGGATGCAAATGCACTACAGGAGGATTTAAATAAACTGCAGGAGTAGTCAGAAAAATGACAAATGAAATTCAACACCAGCAAGTGCAGCGTACTGAATATTGGAAGAACAAATACTATCAATGTATACAGCCTTAACAACATCAACCTAGAGAAGTCGACTTGTGAAAGAGACTTAGGGGTACTTGTAAGCCCGGACCTACGGCCTAGAAAACAGTGCGTTAATGTTCGAAATAAGGCAAACAGAGTATTAGGTTTTATATCTAGACATGTAAGTAATAAGAGTGCAGAGGTCTTATTACATCTATATGTTGCGCTAGTCAGGCCGCACCTCGATTGTGCTGTTCAGTTTTGGTGCCCTTATTATAGAATGGATATCAATTCACTGGAGTCAGTGCAGCAAAGAATGACGAAAATGATTCCGGTACTTAGAAACCTTCCATATCAGGATAGGTTAAAGAAACTTAACTTGCATTCCCTAGAAAGACGAAGAGTGCGGGGAGATATGATAGAAGTATTTAAGTGGGTGAAAGGAATCAATAAAGGCGATATAGATAAAGTTCTTATAATATCCGGGCAGGATAGGACTCGTAGCAACGGATTTAAGTTGGATAAGTTTAGGTTTAGGAGGGAGATAGGAAGGAACTGGTTCACAAATAGGGTGGTGGACGAGTGGAACAAGCTTAGCAACTTTGTAGTAAGTGCTGAAATGCTGGAAAGTTTTAAACGGAGGCTAGATAGATTCATGGATGATAGAGAGTGGTAGTAACTCTCGACAGGAGCTGCCATGCACAGGCCAACCGGCCTATTTGAGAAGCTACTGCAAAGTAATTTAAGTAATGTTGAACACATGGGTACTGACCACATCACATACCAAATATAATTTTTTTTTTTTTAATTCTTGATGAAAAGAATCAAATCCTCAAGTGTATACAGGGAGGATGAATAATCAAGATGTAATGTGTGACAGAAATCAGTTTGGAGGTATTTTGAAAAGTTATATGCATATAACCTGATAAGTCTCTAGCACCCAACAAAAAACACTCAAAGCTGTTGAAGGAATGTGTGTGTCTTGGTCAAGTTGCTTTACCAGCACCTTCATAAGTCACCTAAGTGAGGGAAAGGTTCCAACCTACAGGGAATCTACAGAAGTAATACATTATGGTATTGTTTTAGTGTCAGTCATCTGGGGAATCTTAGGAATTTAACTATTGGAATCTGTAGTTTAGACAATTCTTAGACACTTGGCCCCTAGTTAGGAGGTTCGGTTAGGTCATTTGCGAGGGAAACGTCATAAAAGAAAAGTGTTTTTGAATTGTCTAAACTATTGATTGCAAAGATAAAATTTCTAAGATTTCCGTGTTGTACAAAAGTAAAACTTTACCTACATTATATATACATCTTTATAACAGGAATTGGTCAAAATGAGAATTACAGTATTGTACGGGGTAGTGTTTTTAACATGTTTACCTTAAAGGGTGTTTGATTTAATATTGAGTTGTTTATAACCCAGTAACATTGTTTAACATCAGGGAGTTCTTATCTTAGTATGTTTGGAACCTGACAATGATTTTGTTACACTACAAACTGTTCTAACTCTGTACCTTTCTCTTCCAAACTGAACCATTTTAAATATTAACCAATGTGGTTATCCTAATTAAGAAAGTACAGAAATATGATTCGAATAACATTAAGGCAAGTATAGTACAGTCAATCTTGTTATCATTATGCACATTCCTTTTGGGTAATATTAGTTTCATTATTTCTTTGGAGTCACCTTTACACAAGTTCAAGTAGAATAATTCTGCCCCATACTCAGTGTGCAGTACAGAAATAGAGAATGTGTAAATCTGAGATTATTACACTACAGTATTTTCATATTTTATTGGCCCTCTTAAAATGCTCAAATATGATGGACTAATTTGAAACGTTTTTGTTCTGAGGTAGGTACTGTACAGTACAGTACAGTAATCTTTCATGAGTATTGTACAGTACTTGATCTACTGAGTATTCAAATTATCTTTATGCGAGACCGACAGCAGAAACATGGTAGCTGCCACTGTTATTTTCCCATTCTCCATATAATTAATCACAGGAGTTACCATTTACCAATACCCTAACCCCTTGTGTAAGAACACATGGCACCTCTCACTGGGTCTCCAGCCATATTTTCAGTCTGTCTCTTATGGCTACAGATTCACATAAAACTCTTTTTTTTTTCTTCATATATCTTGTTTCTGTACAGTGATTAATAATATTATTATTATTTTTATTTTTTTTTATTTTTTAGCAAAATCTGTGCATTGCATTTTTGACGGGGCAATTGTTTTGTTGTTATCAAAACAGTAAAATTACTGGACACCTTAATAATGCTTTCACCCTGTCCAACATATTCCATCTTTTGATCACCTGAAGATTAGCCACCCAAACCCATCCAGGTTGTGTGAGGGTGATTGGTCTTACGGTAAAATAAGCTGAAGGGTAAGTTCTCACAAGCCTAGAAATCTGTTAAAGAAAAGTGGAGTGCAATCCTTAACCAGCTGTCTCTTAACCAGAAATTTAAATAAGTAATTGTATTTTGGAGCTAAGGTGTTCCTAGTGCCTGGTTACCCACTAAAAAAAAATTATTCCACACCGCCACACTTAATCCTAGAATTTGTGTTGGTGCTTTGATACAACTGAATTTTCTCGTGATATGATGTTTACCTGTGGATGGTGCTGATTGGTTGTCAAACAGCTTCCCAGGTACTGAAGGTACAATATGCTGTCATAGGTTGCTTCTCACCTCTTGTGTTGGCCTTTTGTATCCTGTCTCCCTACCTTAAGCCGCAGTCTCTGTCTCCTGCTGCTGTGATTGCTTAAATATTTGACGTACACTGTAGTGATAATTTTACCCTCATGTTCTGTGCCTGATAGGAGATAGGGTATTGGTGGTACAGTGCAGCGGTAACACATATATCTCTTAGTTTTGTTTCTTGGGTTCATTTCTCAGCCGAGGACAGATGTGAGAAAGGTGTTTTCCAGTGTGACGCTACTAAACATTGCAGGTTTTCTCCCGTTACTCTAGTTTCCTCCTGTACTAACCCGAGACGATAAAGGTCATGACGAAGTAACAAAAACTAGACTAATTAGCCAAATGGCTAATAAGCTGACAAGTGGTAAGATAATTAAAAATAAATAAAAAGTGCCGGTCTAGCCTTCAGGTAGGAAAGGTGTGACAAAAGAAGTAGTTGACTGAACATAAAGCTTAAAATCATGGAGAAACTAGTGGTGTACAATAGCAGTGTGTGATGTTTAAAGATTGACAATGCTAATTGACCTTTTTATGTACTGTATACTGTATCTTCCAATCCCACTTACTGTATATGAAAGTACAATACAATGGGTGTAATGTTCACTGCAATACTTAATTTTTCCTTTGTTTATTTTTCAACACACTGTTTTCTTCATTTTCTTCAGGTTTATGTTTATTTTTTATGGTTACAAAAGTAAGATGCAGAAACTTGCATGAATAAAAAGAACTACTTAGTACAGTTAGACTTTTGTCTGATTAGCAATCATTTTCAAGTAACCAGAATTTTCCCTTAACCGAACCTATCAGACTGGCTGAACACCAATTAATCTGGTTAAGGGAGACAACTGTACAGTAAATACAAAGTGGATGAGAGGCAAGGGTCCTGTAGCAGTGAGGAGGGAGTAAATTTTCTATCAAGAGGAATAATGAATAGGGAGAAAGCAACAAAAGCCTTGGATGCCATGAAATTTCAAATCCAATTTTAATACTGTACAGTACTGTATACGGTACACTACAGTATAGGCTCACATGAATATTTGACACACCAACTTATTTAACTATGAATTTACACACTTAAAGCTAATCTAACCTAACCCAACCCTCACAAGTACTGGTAGTTTAATCATCAGGTGAAATAACCTGGCATGCCCAATCATCTTGTGATCCATTGTATTTATACCCTTAAATAGCTTTATACATCAATTGGTGCTGCTCGATTCACTGCTAACCACATCAACTGACAGGCGGATCCAAGAATATCAAAAGGGGGTTGCAAGAAGTTGTGGGTGGGGGAACATGGCGAGCATTGCGAGCCCACCCAGCTATTTTTGGGGGAGGAGACACTTAAACCCCCAGAATTTTTTTTAAATGTGACCAATATCTTGGGTATTTTGAGGCCATTTTGAAGCCATGTACACTTGATATTATGAGATACAGTATTCTGAAGTTGATAGTAATTACCTTTTACTATACTAAAATGCCTGAGTACAATACTGCATTAAGGGAAAAGTATTGGAATTTTCTGATGAAAAGGGGGGTCTGGACCCCAGGATCCTCCCCTGATTGATGTTTTGTGGTACGATTTAAAATCTGCGCAGTATATCATCACTCTGAGTGATGCAATGTAATCAGTTGGGTAGCCCTGAGTGGGTATCTCCTTTCCCTCTCAGTCATTGCTTTGTTTTACATCATGAAAGACACCTGCTCCTCAACCTCTCCCAGTGTAGGTACAGTACCAAGTGTAAGTGTCCCATGTATCTTACATGATCAAAAGGACAAAGAAATTTAGAATGTGATTGTTGCCGACCATGTGCTGCAGAATATTTTAGGGAGTTTCAAACCCTAGAAGAAGATTGTAAAGTGTTCAGAGTGTAAATAATGAACTGGATATAAAAATGTATACTCTACTGTATACTGTACTTAGTGTGAATAAAATGCATCGTTACACAATTATTTTCGTAATTATAAATAATACTTGTGCCATGGAACTTTATTGTAAAGTGTTGTAAAGGAAGCTTGTGGAACCAACTAATGAGCCTGTCAGCCATACTAAAACAAAAGTAATCATCTCATATTGTGTTTTGCATGTACTGTACTGTACAGTACTGTATATTAACATTTATACCCTTGTATAAAGTTAATGTTAAAATTTAAAAAGTATTTCTTTTTTTTTTGCGCAGCAGAGGTAGCCATAGATTTGTATTGCCCAGGTTAAGTGATAATATTCAATTGTAGATGTTACACTTGGTATGTTATACAAATACCTCCTTTCTTGCAGTGACCAGTAGTGATGATAAGTCTAACAGTAAGGAGTGTGAAAGTAGCAAGACTCCAGCAGATAGTTCTTGTGAAGCTGCCAGCCCAACTGATGGTGTGGTCACAGACAACCAGCCACAAAGTTCAGAAGAAGCAGTACATCCTGACACCAATGAGGTCAAACCAGATACTCAGGTAAGTGTTAAACATACACTACACACCAGATCTTTTGATATATTGTTTTAATGTATGTGGCAAAAATTCAGAATTTTTTTGTTGAATCTCTTCCCCATAAACTTTTTATTGCGAATGTTTGTTTGTGTGTGTGTAGCTATGTGTAATCAAAGGTTTTTTCAGTTATTCGCACATTTTGATTAATTCACAATATTTTAATATAATTTGTCTTATTTATTATTACTTCATTCTGTTACCGTTTACATTTGTCTTGCATGTCTCCCTATTATTTCCCTCTTGGTCTTCAAAGTCTAAGAATCCCTGACCCATCTCACTCATGACTGGGGAACCATAAAGTTTTTAAACTAATACCGTGTTATAACTTGTTTTATGTTGTATACAGTATGTATTTTATTACCAATCATATTTTTATTAACTCTCGCCTTCTCTTCGTCCCACCAGTCAGAAGCACTACCATCGGGGGAAGCGGTAAGCTTTAAATTGGTCTACAATAAGACGAAGTATGATATAGAATTTCCTTTAGATGGCACAATCAAGCAATTGAAGGAGCATCTCAGTTCTATAATCAGTGAGTATTATTTAACCCTTACATGGCGTGCATCATCAGTGGAAGTTTCATGTTCCTACTGTTTAATTTTTGAGCACATGGGGTGGAGTAGGGAATCCTTATCCACCAGTCATCAAGTTTTTGTGTACTAGTTAAGTTTTCTCTTGCACTTTGACTGATTTTATTAAAGGAGATACTTGTGCATTTGTTGGTAATCCTGAATGACTATTACTGTACTTCATATTCGGGATTACCTGAGGATTTGCCCCTAATCACCCTAATGCTACCTGCGGGTAAGGTTGGGTTATGTTAGACTAGGTTAGGTTGTTGTTGGGTAAGGCCAGGATAGTGTTAGGTTGGACCAGGATAGTGATGGGTTAGGTCAGGTTAGTGATGGGTTAGTCCAAGCTAGTGTTAGGTTAGACCAAGTTAGTGTCAGGTTAGACAAGGTTAGTGGTAGGTTAGGTCAGGTTAGGCTAGTGCTGGATTAGGTCAGGTTAGGCTAGTGCTGGATTAGGTCAGGTTAGTATTAGGTGAGATTAGGCTAGTGTTGGATTAGGTCAGATTAGTGTTGGGTTAGGTGAGATTAGTGTTAGGCTAGTGTTGGATTAGGTCAGTTTAGTGTTGGGTTAGGCCCGGTTAGTTTTAGATTAAGTCAGGTTAGAGTATGGTTAGGTCAAGTTAGTGTTGGGTTAGGCCGGATTAGTGTTAGGTTAGTTTCGTGTTGGGTTAGGCCAGGTTCGTGTTAGGTTAGGTTAGTGTTAGATTGAGTCAGGTTAGGGTCGGCCAGGTTAGTAATTCATTAGGGTTTGTTAATCTTTAGGTGAAATAAGTTGGAGGAGGTGCGGCAAAACTTTAGGTGATCTTACATTTGCTTTTCATCACTTAACCAGTTTATTTGTCGTTCCTGAGTGTTAATTGTCAGGTAGAGAATTGAATTGCCGTGGGTGTAGGGATACTGTGAGCCCTGTATTCTTAGATTTGCTCCATCTTATATAATTGACTCTGTATTGCTTTCATGATGCAAAAATTAAGTTAGGTTGGTTGGGTTAGGTTAGGTTAGATCAGAATTGGGTTAGGTTGGTTGGGTTAAGTTAAGCTGGCTGGGTTAGGTTAAGCTGGTTGGGTTGCATTAGAATAGAATTGGGTTAGGTTAAGCTGGTTGGGTTAGGTTAGGTTGACTGGGTTAGGTAAAGCTGGTTGGGTTGAGTTAGATTAGAATTAGGGTAGGTTAGGTTGGTTGGGCTGGCTGGGTTAAGTTAGGTTGCAGTTTTAATGGAAAAGTCTTGCATTCGTAGAAAAAATATATATTTTGGATGATTCTTTTACACCTCCTCTTAAGACGGGGGTAGTAATTATGCTCCTAACTTAACTCTTCCTTTTTAACCTTCTCAGATGTATTACCAGCGATGCAGAAAGTGATGATCAAGGGACTGGCAAAAGATGAGAAGACTCTGAGGGAATTGGGAGTGACAAAAGGTGCTAAGGTGATGGTAGTGGGGTCCAAGTTAGATGATGTTGTTAATGTCAACACCCCAAAGTCAGATGTAAGTCTTGAGTTCATTGTTTTATTGTACCGTCGTCTGGATAACATGGTGCTGGTTCATTGTAGTGTGTGTGTGTGTGTGTGTGTGTGTGTGTGTGTGTGATAATAATTAATGGTTTATTTAAAGAGCATGGCAGCTGAAAGGCTGAAAATATACAGTTACATAGTTGGGGAATAGGTCTCATGATTTACAAATAATATACAAGTAACATAAGTGGTACAAATATGATATATAATAACTAGGTGGGGAGAAGCTCAAACTACAGGGCAGTTCAACATAGTGACAGTGCAAAAAGTAAGATTGACTGGGAGTAAATACACTGGTTGATTACAAGTTATTGATAATTTTTACAATGGTTGGGACTGGGCTGTTCTTAAAGCGATCAGTTCATGCTCGGATGGGCTGGATGCGGTTGTGGTGTCGAACAGCAATTCTTGGACGAGGGATCTCGGATGGTAGTAGGAGCCGGTGTCGAGGATGGTGCAGAAGCTTCTCACCAAATTTGCAGATGAGGTCGTGGTGATGGTCAGTGAGGGCCGAGAGGGTCAGTGTGTTGAGCGCTTCTTGATATGTGGAATAGGAGGGGGAGAGAATAATCTTGCATGCCCTCTTTTGCGCTTTTTCTAGGTGTTTACGTTGTGTGGCGTTTAGGGAGGAAGACCAGGTAGGGGAGGCATAGGTGAGCTTGGGAAGTATGAATGTTGAGTAAACACTGAGGAGCTCGGGTGCAGGAACTCCGAGGGACTTGAGTCAGCGGAGGAGGTGGAGACGGAAACTGGAGGATTTGACAACTTCACTGACGTGTGGTTTCCAATTTAGTTTGTTGTCTATGGTGATGCCGAGGAGCTTAGTGGAATCTACAACCAGGAGTGTGTTGGGACCTAAAGTAATGGAAGGGGGTGGGACAACGTCGGAGGAGAGGTTGATGTGCTTAACTATGGTTGATGGTGATGTGGTTGTCGGTGGCCCAGTTTTGGAGTCTGTTCAATATATCCTAAAGGGTGGTATAGTCGGGAGCAGAATTGTTGATGCTGATCCCACTGGTGGAGTCGTCGACTAATTTCCAGCGAGCAGGGGTTTCTCTTAGGGCATCATTGATAAGCATAAGGAATCATAGTGGTTCCCATCTTGGTGCCTTGGGGGACGCCACAGGTGAGTGACTGAAAGGTGGAGACAGCCCCTCGGAAGCGTACAGCTTGGCGTCGGTTACTGAGTAAGTCTGTAAGCCATGGTATAAGACTTCTTCGAAACCCGAGATCGATAGCTTTGTTGATGATTAAATTGTGGTTGACTAGGTCGAATGCCTTAGTAAAGTCAATGAAGTTCAGCTGTCAGCTACAGACGTTTTTCGTTTCTCCAGACGGCGGTATATGTAGTCGAGAAAGCTGAAAAGACAGTGAGTGGTGGAGGAAGTTTTCATATTACCAAATTGCTGAGGATCTACAGCTCCTGCAATATCTGCATAAGCCCAGTCGAACACAAAACCTTCACAGATTAAGCTGGGTATTGGGGTAATTGCAATGGGTCGTAGCTGATATAAGGATTGTGGGCTGGTTGACTTGGGCACTGGTGACACATAAGAAGTCTTCCAGTCAGCTGAGCATCTGGCTTGACTGAGGGAAGCATTGATGATGGAGCAGAGGGGTTTAGCAAGCTCCGGGGAGAACTCCTTGAAGAGTTTCATTGGTAAGTCAATGGGGGTGGTGGAGCGTTTTAACTTCAGTTTGTCCAGACGTTTTGCCACTTCAAATTCTTCTACTAAGTCAGTGGGAAAGGGGGCTGGTAGGTAAGCAGGGAGATTGGTTGTGTCAAGCCTGGGGAGCGTCTGGCATATAGTAGCGAAATGGTTATTTGATTGCTCAGCTGCGTCAACATTAGTGAGATGGCTAAGGAAGGGGAGGGGGTGTGTCTTATTGTTTAGTCCACAGGGTTCTTTAAGCTTACCATACCACTGACTGACGTTGGTCTGCTTCAGGTGTTGCAATTTGGTTGGGTAGTGAGACTTCTTTGCAGTGCGTATTTCGCGTATGACTCGGTTGTGGTCATTGAGATAAAAGGCTCTGTCTCTGTTGCATAAGTCTTTTGATCCAAGGTGTGATCCAGGGCAAATCAGCTGGGTGAGATCTGACGGACTTCTCGGGGAAGAAGTGGTGGTGAGCTTCCGTGGTGGTGATGGTATAATTTATCCATTTGGTGTCCACGTCATCCACACTGAGTACTTCAGTCCAGGGATGGTGAATTATCCACTGCCCGAAGAGACGCACTGCAGAGTCAGTAATCGGCCTGTAGGTCTTGATGTAGGGTCTCTGTACTTGAGTGGGAGTGGCAGCTGGGGACCAGAGCACTGATAGGTGTGTGCTACACCCAATAGGCATTGAGGTGGTTGGTACTGGTCCACTAAGTCGGTTAAGACAAGGTCAAGGGTATTTTGACAGTGTGTGGGGAAGTTCACAGCTTGTGATAGTGACAGCTGGTCCTGGTTGTAAATGAAGGTGATGAAAGAGTTGATATCCCTCAATATGACCACCTTTCAGGCACAATTTGCCAAGCCTCACATATGGCAATGACGCTCGCGGCGGCTGACCTGACTGTGGTTGCCAGCTCGTCATACTTGTTAGCTAGGGAAGTGACGTTGGAGAGCAGTAGAGACGGGAGATCATACCATATCCGTGGAACTTCAGTGTAATGGTACGGTCTGTCAGGGGTGGGTTTCTCCGGTTTCCTAGTGGAGGTTACGGTCCTAATGGGCTATGTTTATGACGGCCCTGTCTACAGTTGCACACGTGGAATATGTTCAGTGACTTGAGTCGCCCTATAACACTGCCATCAGGATAACCGTTCCCACGCTTTAGAAGGTACAGCGAGCGTCGGGAGAAAGTAATTGTTGGCCATCTGTTGATATCTGTTGTTGTGGATGGACAGAAGTGTTTGTCCCCGGTGGCCATAAATTCACTGGCGGCACTTTGAGGGCCACTGACACTGGTAGACATCTGTTAATATTTGTCAGTCGTAAACACCGTAAGTCCTTGTCTCTGGCACTTAGGGTCGCCAACACAGTATCCACGATATATGTAAACACCGCGGTGGTCCTTGTTGCTGGCACTTTGAAGGTGACCTACAAAGTGTCCACTGTCTGGTATTACACTGCTGTGTTTTTGTGCTTTTCCTTGGGATGCACTATCGGAACACTGTTTGGTAATCAATCATTGCAATGATCACTTGAATGTTTTGCTGAATAAATCCCAGTGTAGTAAGGCTGGCAGGGCCAAACAGACTCGGCCTGGCTGCCAAAACCCGGAGCGCCCTCAGGGCACGTCTTGTCTCACTGATGGTTGACAAGTGTGTGTGTGTGCCAGCCATTATGGTTGGGTTGTGGTGTGTAAGTGAGAGAGAGAGAGAAACTTAAGTTTTTCTAGTAAACTTGAGTGGCGTCTAATAACAAGTTACAGTACAGCATGCGCTTAAAATTCGCAGGGGTTAGGTTCTCAAAGTGGCCGCGAAACTGCCAGCAATTTTAACCCTTAGGCCCCGGGTGACTTTCCAGAACGTCCGACTAGCGCGCCCTGGGTGACGTTCCAGAAGGTCTGTCTATTTTCCTGCCATATTTTTATTTTTATTATTATTTTGTTTTAAGTTTATTTTTTCTCGATTTATCCCCGCGGGAGGGGGAAGGTTACTGCCAGCAGCACCCTAACCCGGGCATAAGGGTTAAAACTACCCTTAGGCATTCTTGGGTACATCCAGGGCATCATCAGCGAATAATTGAGGTCCACGAATTGTCCATCAGTTGTCATTAAAATATCACACTATTTGATGTAACTAATAATTATGGACATGGATGATATAACGGTTACATTTTTAAATATATTCCTGTATGTACAGTAGTTGGTCTGTAAAATAATCTCTCTTAATTTACTCAGAACAATATCTAGGTCTGAAATTGGCTAAATTAAATAGAAACTTAACTATCAAACTCCCAATTGCATATAGTCTGTCTACCTACCCAGATTTCTTCTTGTTACTATTGCTCCTCACAGTCATCAGATATTTTATTATATACTGTCTTGGTCTACAGGTATGTCAGTCTTGGAACAGAAACATAGGTTGAGTACTCAAACAGGAAAACACTTGATGGTGTCTTATGATTTTGTGCATTATTATTATTGAAAGATTCTTACTCGGTAGGATTCTTAACAAGAGTTGTGAGGAATTGGTTTTGTGAGCAGAATTTTCTTTTATGAGTTATGAGAGTACTTTTGTGTATATGACAAGTATCATTTTGTCTGCAGAACTTTTTATGAATGATATTTTCTGTATGTAAAACCCTTACATTTGCCTGCAGTAATTTTACGTGTTACCATGAGACTGACTTCTTATGTAGAACAAGTAAAATTTTGTTTGGTATAAGATTACCTTCATGTTTGAAACAGGTTCAAATTTGCCACCATATCTTTTTTATGAATTATAAAACTACCTAAGACTTCCAGCGGGAGAAACACTCTTAACATACGAGGTCTGGCAATTATGTTCGCGATTTTCTGAGGGAAGAAGACGTGACAGCCGATGACATAGAAGGACGACCAACAATGAGCAGGACTGAGGGAAACTTTGAAAAAATTAGGAAAGGTGTGCAAGCTAACAGGCAACTGACAGTGAGAAGAATTGCAGATGAAGTTCAGATTGACAGGGAAACAGTTAGAAAGGTTTTGACTGACGATTTGAAGACGAGAGAAGTTTGTGCAAAAATGGTGACGAAAAATCTCGGTGATGAACAAAAACAAAGAGTTGAAATTTGCTCAGACCTTTTGAAGAGAGAAGAAGCTGGAGATGACCTACTTCACCGAGTCATTACTGGTGATGAGTCATAGGTCTGCCAATACGACCCTGAAACGAAACGCCAGAGCCCCCAGTGAAAAACTGCAAACATGCCACGCCCCAAAAGGTGTCGTAAGTGAAAGTTGAAAGTGAAGACAATGCTCATCAATTTTTTTGATTTTAAGGGTGTACAGTAGTTTACCCAAAATTTGTTCCCCCAGGGCAGGGTGCGAACCAGTTTTACTATCTCGACGTGCTTAAAAGACTCGGAGAAAAAGTTAGACGAAAATGCCCAGAACTTTTCACTGGAATCAAGTGGATCTTGCATCCTGACAATGCCCCAGCACACACTGCATTGATTGTGTGGGAGGTTTTGGCTGAGAAACAAATTACCTGACTCGAACACCACCTTATTCACCTGTCCTGGTCCCATGTGACTTTTTTCTGTTTCCTTCGTTGAAGAAACACATCAAGGGGACACATTTTCAAGACGTAGATGACATTCAGAGTAGCACGACGGCAGCTATAAAAGCTATTCCAGAGATGTTTCCAAGGGTGGAAGAAACACTGGTGTTCGTGTATAGCCTTGCAAGGAAAATAATTAGAAGGGGACCACAGCACCGATCCTCAGTAAGGTACGTACCAACACCTGTAGCATGAGTTTGCGAACTTAATTGTCAGACCTCGTACTGCAACGGTAGACAGGTGTTCCCCGATATATGAAGGGGTTGTGTCCCTTGAAATCACTTTGTTAAGTGAAGAAACATGTAATGAATGTTAGAACCCTTATATTATTGGGAGTTATGTTCCTGAGAGGAAAAATGTTGGTCAACTGGGGGGTTTTCACACTAAGTTCACCATTCTTATGTCCTGTAGAATTATTATTATTATTTTTTTTAATAAATACACTGAAAATGATGAACCATATACAGGTTCAGTAGAGTGTAAATGCATTTATGTGTATCCTGGGTGACCATATGACAGCTGAAAGTTTGCATTCCTTAAAAATAAAAGGTTGTCAAAATGTGATTTTTATTCAGTAAAATGAATGTTTGCTTTCTTATAAAGAAAAAGTGTCAACATGTTGTTTTTGTTATAATGCATTTTCGTTTATCGGACACACATTCACGCTGAAGATATTAATGTATTCTCTACTTTCAGAGCTCATCGTCAGAGAAGCCCAGCACAACCACCTCCACAAAGGAACCTCTCAGTAAACAAAAACTTCATCGTAAGATCCTTGACAAAGGACTGCCAGATGATGTCATGCCAGGCATTAAGAACAGTAAGGTACCAGTATGAGACAGATAATTGTTCTACTGTACTTATTAAAAGACCAGTTAGACCAGAAAATATTTAGAGATCTACTGTAGATGTACAATAGCTAAAACAACTATCTGTGCAGGTGGGGGTCGATATGCTCCAAAATTTTACGTGTGACTCGTGACAGCCCTTATATACCAATATTTATCGTCCATGGTCACATATTGTTTCCCACAAAGTATGCACAGATAGTTATTTTAGCTACTGTACATTTAGTGCTCTAATCCCTAAGGTTTCATTAGGTGGAATCTATTAGTCAGGGACTTATGATATGTAAACAGTTTGTAGTACACCACCATAATCAGGAATTCTGAGAGAAAATGCAAGTTGTTCCGTGTGTTCTGCTCTCATATATTGCAAGCTCATATATTGTACCAAGGGATGAAACTCAGTATCAACCTGTGTTTTAATACATCAGACTTCCCTGGTGGAGGTAGAGTATACTATATGCATGGTAATATTACATAACAGTGTTCATCTTTAATATTTTGCACCTTATTCTTTGAAGTATTTTGCCCCATATTTACTGGATTATACTGTTATTATACAAAGCCCATTTATGATTACTGTACAAACAAGTTCTTTATGATTGATGGTGCTGTTGTTTACATTATCTAAATTCATCCAATGTTCATATGATGGGTTATAATTATTTTTATTCTGATGTATACTTATCTTATTCTTTTCATGTTTCCATGTGTGAGGAAAAATAGTAACAGGAAAGATGTTTATACTTCCTTCCAAATGTGTATGTTTCATATAAATTTCCTGTGTTAACATTTTAGTATTCTTCAGGATGTCCTGCCATCATATCCTCTGTCGGGGATGGTAAACAAACATGGTGGGAAAGTTCGACTCACGTTTAAGCTAGAGCTGGATCAGATATGGATTGGTACTAAGGAACGCACTGAAAAGATCAACATGAACCACATCCGGCAAGTTGTCTCAGAAGCAATAGAAGGTTATGAGCAGTATCACATTATGGTAAGTCAGGCTCATAGTTCTAGGTTAAACGACATTTTCAAAGATCATTAATATTTACGTGCAGGTAATTTTGTAAAATAAGTTAAGGACATTAATAAGTGTGTAAGGAGTATTTCTGTATGTTGTAGAGATACTGTATTAGATATTTCCTCTTGTTTCTTACACTTGCCTTGCATTCTTACCCCTGTAAAATCCCCTTTCCCTTAGGTCACCTTTGCCTCTTGATCCATTCCATATGAAAGTTGGATAGGGTATAAAGACAATAGGAGTTTACATCATAATAAGCAGGAATTTTAAGTAAAGTAATTTCTACATGATGGGTAAAAAATAATTGACATTATTGTTTTTACTTAAAATATAAATTTGTCAGTTATTTATCACCTACACTTATCTTGACTTGAGTTTTTTGTGGCTGAAGTAACAGTACAAAAGTCAAGGGTTTAACTTAAGTGAATATTTTTCCTGGTTGATGATTTTTCAAGTGTTTCTTCAGCCTACTTATGCCGCAGCCAAAACGTACTCCTCGTTACCCTCTGCTGGTTACCAAGTCATGTTCCTCTTGTTCCCACTGGCTTTCTCATGAAATGGTTTTTCCTCACATGAGCAAATTGAGGTGAAAGTAGGGGTCCATCGGGGTTCTTTCTTGAGTCCGTCCTGTAGGCAATATTATGGGACTTTGGGGCTGGCCTGCCCTGAGAGTTATAAACTGATGACTTAGTGCTGATAGTAGATAGTATTGAAAAGGCAATGGAGAAATTTAAGAAATGGATGAAATAGAGTCAATGGGCCTGAGAACGAATGTGGCAAAAACAAAGGTAATGATTAGTGGTGTACGTGAGGGAACCATGGTGGAAAGTGGCCATGTGCTGTCTGTATAAAAGGTGATGACAGCAACTCAATAATGTGCAGTGAATATGGAATATGGATACACAAGAGGTGCAGTGGAGTATATAGTAGACTGCAGGATGTTGCTGACTATAAATGTTCTATATGTCCAGGTAACTATGTGCCCACAGCAAGGCTTGAGAAGTTTTGTTACTCAGGTGACATGATCAGTGCTGGTGGGGGTGCTGAAGCCTATTCAGTTGCAAGAGTAAAAAATGGTTGGATGAAGTTTAGGGAGCTGCCTTTATTACGATAAGTGGACCTTCCCTCTGCATGAAAGGAAGAATGTGTGCAGCAGGTGTGAGAATTGTGATGTTGTATGGCAGAGAAACATGGATGATATAAGTAAACTTGAGATATCTGAAATGAGAATGGTGAGGTGGGAGTGATATGTGACACTGAAAGACAGGAAGCCCTGTTCAGAGCTAAAAAGGTAGCTGTGTATTGAGAGTACAGTACTATAGTGGCAACGTTCTGCATAGCGGCAGGCTGAGATGGCTTGGGTGTGTGGAGATCATTTGGGTTAAGAGGTGCACGAGGCTAAATATGGAGGGGGAGGAGAGCCAGTGGTAGGCCAAGAAGGACATGGAGAGAGGTTGTAAGACATGACTTTAGAATTAGGACCCTGACAAGGGAGACTGCATGGAGATCTGCCTTGTTTTAATTGTTGCTAACTCACACAAGCATGGGAAGTGGCCATAAAACTTTGATGATGATGACGACTCACTCCTTTACCTATAGTTTATGTGGAAGAAATGTTTTCAAGTTGGTAGTGTGCAGCTTTAGGCTAAATAGGGATTTGATAAACTCGGCACAAACAACCAACATTACTAAATAATCTAGTAAAGTACAGTACTATAATGGTAAATATTCTGTGATATTCATGATTTTTATATTTTCCTTTGAAAATTTTGTGCATCTTGCTACATGTGGCCAGTTTACTGATTCATAACAGTTTGGTATGAATGATCCTCATAATAATTTACACAAAGATAAGAATTCACCACAGGTATGTTGTTGGCTTTGTTGTAGAAAGGAGGATGTTGGTTGTAAGGCAGCTAGAAGGAAGTAATGACAGCAAAATAGAGAGATTATATTACTTTTATGATCAGCTACACTGTGTTGTTGGAGGAAAGGTCTTGCAAGAATTAAAAATGGTATAATTGTGATTTCATTTATCATTTGACTTTAAGAACAATCTGGTATAGTGGCCAATTGTAGTCTCTAGAATGACTGAATATACTGTATTGTATTAATGCAAACATTTAATTGCACAACTAGTAAGGTTATAAATTTTTTTAGAAGGATTTTGGCTTAGAACAATATAACCATATTGACCTTTCAAAAATGAGCATTTTAATTTTTAAGACTATATTAGGGGAGTATAGTCATCAATGTTGTAAACAGTATTCTTTTGGTTGAAGTTGAAATTATCTATCCACAGTTATTGCTCTTATGAAACAAATGTGTGATAAATTTATTGCATCTTTAGTGAGTTATCAATTTTGGGAATGTTTTAGGGGCTGCAGTTAGGACCAACAGAAGCCTCTCGCTACTGGATCTACTGGGTGCCTGCGCAGTACGTCGACGCCATCAGAGACACAGTTCTCGGCAAGTGGTAATGCTTAGGGCAATTTAGGGTATTCATCAACAACACATTTTTATTGGTTCATCATAATCATATGTTTTGCCTTAGTAGGAGCAGATGGAACTTATAGACCCTGCATTAACATTAAATGTCAGAGAGCTAGGAGGTTGGAAATGCATACTAATAGAAGGAGTTTATATAAATATATTATCCATAATGACAGTGTCCTTTGCCCATTCTTTGCCTTTTGGGTCCTCAACTGCATCAACCTTTGAATGAACATGAATCATATCATGTTCTGCCAAATTTTATTTTTTTGTTTTTAACCATTTCAAGGTTCATGGTTTGAACTATGGGCAGCTGTGCCAAGCATGTTTCTTAAGTTATGAGATACCAAGTGTTTGATTTTTTTGTCCCCAAATCTGATATTGAGGTTGAAAGTTCCATCTGTAATGCTGGGGAATTTAAAGGCATGGAGGAATGAGTGATAATGCAGAGTCAATTTTCAACAAGCTTCCCATGTTTTCATATTATATACTGTACAGTATACAGGACTCTCAATATGTGTGGGAATGATGTAGATAAACTGCAAGTAATTATTTCAAAACAAAGCTTTACTGCGTCAGTGTAAAAATGTGATGCTGTACACAAGGAATAACAAAAAAAAAATACTTTTTTTTTAATGAGCTTTTTGGGTTTCTCACTATTATTTTCTCTTAGCATCCAAATTATTATTTTTTAAATTCACACAGGATGGAGGTTCTATGAATGAAAGTACCCCCGTATTATTGTGAGTGTTATTAGTTCATCTATATGTGTGGAGAAAGCATCTATCATTTTATCAAGTTTATTGAAGTGTACAGTCAACAAAAAAAATTTCTGCATCCATGGGACTGGCGGCCTTTGCAACAATCACTGACTGAGGCCATGTTACTTTGGTAAGGATTGTACTTCTGACTGTGCAATGCATTGTGTAACCAATACAGTGTATTCTGTATATCATGTGTAGCTAATATAGATAAATTAATAGGAATCACCCAAGTAAATGGGGGTTGTTCAGAATTCTTGGTGTATATCACTAAAAGTTCAGAAATTTTTTATGTTGACTATACCTGTTGTTCATTTCACTTCTGCCAATGGGTATTGATCACTCCTTGCTCTACCAACAGTTGATCAGTTATTCTTTGTGAACATTAATTTTATGAGACTGAAACCCATGACATCAGTATAAAGAGTGAATTAAACTTGATTTGGATGTCTTTGGTGTAGCAAGGTCATGAAAAGCACAGCCACATAACAAGAAAATTGTCTCATATCCAGAATTTTATTTCCAGATTAAGGTCATGTTATATGAATGCATCTTGGTATCAAGGAAGGGGAAGCTGAAATTATTAAAATTCTATTGGATATAAAGTTTGCCAAAAAAGTTTCTATTGGTAAAGATAACTATTGGCCAATGATACACTTTGTGATTAAAACGAAACAAATGGTGCAAGTATAAGAAATGGAGGTAAAGTGCCAGGAAGATGTGAAAATTCTATGATGTATTATAAATTTTCTTTGAGATAAAATATTCATCAGTAAAGACTTAAATTTGGTGTTGTTGGAGAAAGTTTAAGCTAAAGATTTATTATTTTTTCATTGTTAATATGTTTTGTTAAATATTAAAGATGTTTTATATGTAAATACAGTACGTACTGTATAGTGAAATTCTGGGAGATGTTTGTGAGTACTGTAAAACTTAAGGAAATTACTAAAATGGAAAGGAAGCATGAACTTAGACCTGCCAGAGGGTAGTATTTGTTGATGTAGTTTTCTTGTGGGACACTTTGACAAAATGGTTAAGTAAATTGATAAAAGGAATAAATAAATTAACATACCACTTGTTCAGAAAATTGATGAAATGGTTTAGCAAATTGATAAAAAGGGCAAGAATGTTTATGAAAGGGTACGTACAGGGTATTTGTATAACACCCTGGGACGCGTAAAAGGAAGAATATGGATTTTTATAAATACATCAAGACAACTTGGGAAGAAATAATATAAACAAGAGACTGGTGTTACAGTTACGCAAGTATTAATGATAATGGGACTACAGGTTTATTAATATGAATTCTTTTTTTTTTTTTTTTTTACTTACTTACTTACTGGATGCAAATAAATTTATTCTTTATGCAAGGTGAAGGATGATGCCTTAGATAAATTATACATGTATATACAAAATGTTGTGAGATAAGAGTAATGTCGGCTCATGAAGAACCTCCATCATACACATACTCCCCCCCCCCTTTATATTTATATGTAATCTTTAATTATTCCCTTTGTCTCCTCTACTTAACTTGTTCACTCAGACACAAGTAATAATTTGTGTATTTAACATGTTAAATCAGCATGAAATTTAGAAAAAAAAAAAAGTGTAAAGCAAACATAAATGATACTGTTTTGGTTACAATTTACAAAACTTTCATTGAGAATACAGTACATACTTCACTTTAACAAGTTTCACATTAACGATTCATCGCAATAACGACAGTAATGAGACACCTCGACACATTAACGATACATTTCAACACAATAACGATCAGTCATGCAAATTGATAGTCACTCTGGGCGGCCATCTTGATGACGTCAGCAAGCGGGGTGGTTTGTTTTGATCGGAGCGTGTGAACAGGTGTGGTGTAGCCCACCAACTTATCTGTGAGTCGACATTCAAGAGGGAGATGACGGCATTGTTGATGATAATGTTCAAGATTTTCCTGTGTGTGCGATTGTTAGATGATTTACCACTCGACTTTACTGGCTTTGAGACTGAAGGATCAGTTGGTGGTGGTGCTGAGGAAGCAGTGAGTGTGGGGGCAGGGGGCACTAACACCACTCCCCTGCCTCGGATGACAACAGTCTCATTAAGCTGTTCAGTGAGTGTCTCTTTAGACATTACTGAAATTATTATCAGTTATTAACTCTACATGCAGTATTAATGTGTGTAAATAAGTGGTTGTAATTTTTTGTGGGGCTGGTACCAGTTGACCCATATAGCATGTAAACTATCCTCACCACATTAAAGATTTTAACTTTAACGACCGTTTTCGTGGTACCAATTAGTCGTTAAAATGAAGTATGGACTGTACACCCAAATGCTCATATTTTTATAAAAGTTATAAAATAATGTAATGTTTGTTGAGAGTCCCCCCATAATCTTACCACATGGGGTGAATGAAGCTTAACACCTACAGCTCAGAATAAGCCTTGTTTTGTAAATCCATTAACATATATAAGATCAAACACTGTTTAAGCATAACATGGAAAAAATCTGTGGGAGAAGCTTGTCTTAATGCAACAATTGTAATCTCCTGTTTATGCCTCTTGTCATGGCATATGGAACTTACAACTTCATAGCTTCTTGTGGCCAACGGATTTTTTTTTTAAATCTTTACTGAATATTTGGCGAGATGATACAGCAACTATGCAGTAAATATTAAGAGAATGGATATGAAGAAGATTGTCATCCAGAAGCAGAAAACTTTTGGCTATAAACATAGATTGGTAAAGTAAATGTCAAGAAGGGTAGCTGTTATAATCGTGATGGGCAGTTTGAAATAACAGCTGTGTCCTATGGTTTGTGTTCAAAGAATTACTCCTATTTTTGCACCTTTATATACCTAATTGTCTGCACCCTGACAAATAGTATTACAATGTGAATGCAGCTAATAGACCAGATTAATAGTGATACTGTATTTGGAAATTGAACAACAATGCTGTTCATTATAATTGTATGCATCTGAAAAAATTTATGGAATTATGAAGAAAAATATAACATAAAATGTTCAGCAGCATTTCCTTCAATTTACATATTTCTGTTTTTGGCTTGGCAAAGTTGTAAAAGATTTAACACGTGTCATTAAAAATATTTAGGTCATGTATTTAAAGAAAACTAGGAGTTTATTGTACCGAGACTGATCCTATTTCCTGTGACTCATTATTTTGTGGCACATGTAGAATCTTGTGCACTTTGTTTTTCTTATTTGTTTGTAACAATAACAGTAGAACAAGAACTTTACTGGATAACATAGTGTCCTGAGAGTCAATTGTTATGTTGGCTATAAGGTTCTAAGTCTCATGTTTTGCTCAAAGTAACATAATTGGAGAGGTAGTTTTGTGGCATTTAAATATACATACTTGTTTCATCATATCATATTTAATGTCTCATTCTCTCAACCAAGGAAAGTTAACAATGTTGAGTTGATTAACTGTGAACTATTTTTTCATACAGTACATCCACCGACTTGGAACTGGTATATGAAACCCTTTTTAAACATTGGTTTCATGTGTATTAAATTTATATTAGTTCACTTCTTAACTGTTATTTTGTCTATAATTTGCATGTAAATACCTTTATGTGCAGTTTATTATGTTGTGTTGCTACTTTCAGATAATGGGGAAGGTTTTAGCGGTAATTGTTAAGATTATTTGTACAATAAAGAGATTTAATAACCATAGAAATGTATAATACTTCTTTCTGATACAGGATCAGAGAACCATTTAACGGAAACATGAGTAACTATACAAATATTTTTTGATAAAACAATAAGAAATTATCCTTAAATTTTTTGAATGCCAGACTCTTAGGCAAAAACATGAGTTTCTTTAACATGCAACAAAATTGACAAACATATGCAAGAATAGTGTTACAGAGTGTATTCTTTCACCATGTTTTATTCAGATACACAAAGTTTGTGTGGCAGAGGAATTAATGGTGACTATCAAGCAAGGGAATATGATCTCCCTACTCTTAATTCCCTGAAGGTAGCAAATGTCATGCCAAAAATTAGTTTGCCATTTATATTAATATTATGCTTTGATCATCAAAAGATCTCTTCTGTGGACAGTGTTTTACGCTGCCACTGACAGAAACAACAACAGTTTCTTCAGTAGTACATAAATTGTTGTGTAAATTTAGGGAACGTTGATTTGTATTTCTTAACAAAAAATATTGATAATTTAGTTATTTTCTTTGTTATCTTAATGTCTCTTATTAGGATCATCATAAAATATAATATATAGAATCAGAGGTATGGTTCTCTCTCTCACGTTTAGTACTGAACTTTCAGTCTGTGGTATTTGGGATTTTAAGACAATTAGTCACTTTTGCAGAACATAAAATTTGTCGTCCGATCTTTACTCCAAACTGAATTATTGCGTTACCCCAAAGTTTTACATTACCTGTACTAGTACTGTAAATGAAACTGAAAATTTAAATTGATGCAGGTAACAAGAATGTATTTAAAATGAGTTTTGGTACAGTATTTGATATATACAGGCCCCCAAGTTCACGGATTTTTACTTTGTGGTTCTCAGTTATTCGGGGATGACACCCTGGATGTACCCAAGAATGTCTGTGGGTAGTTTTAAAGTTGCCATCATTTTTGCGGCTGGGACAGGGAGCCATTCATTCTAGAGACAGTAATTTCCTTTACCTGTATTGTAAATATGTGTGTGTGTGTGTGTGTAGACACACAAAACACATAACTGTGCAAATACATAATAATTGGAAAATCTTCACAAATAATTTTAATCAGAAACAAATTTATAAAAAGTGTGACTGTCTACCCTCTAGTCCGTACTCTATTAATAAAGTACTGCAATAGAGAACGGACTGGAGGGTAGACTTACAATTTTAATAAATTTGTTTCTGATTAAAATTATTTGTGAAGATTTTCCAATTACTATGTATTTGCACAGGTATGTGTTTTGTGTGTATGTGTCTACACACACACATATACAATACTACAGGCAAAATAAATAATTGTCCTAAGGGCAAACACATAAAGGGAATATACATTTCTTTGTAAACAAGTAAAAACGTAACCCCTCCCCACCCCCGGGTCCGCAAATGTTATTCGGGGATTTGGTGATTCGCAGCCATTTTTAGAACCTTACCCCCTTCGATTTTTTTTAGGGGGGGGGGGGGGCGCCGCCGCCTGTATATAAATATATATACCCCGTATATATATAATTTTTTTTTTAATGTATACTACAGGTATTGTTTTTATTTGAGGAAATTAAGCGGTGATTAACATTTGAAGCGTTGATAGAGAAACTAGCAGAAGCACCATTCTCATTTTTTGTCAGGAAATGCAATCAAAGTTTTCCGAGATGAGATGCGGACTAGAGAGTTAGGTTTTTGTCTGTGGACTTTCAACCATATGGTCAGTGGCGTTTTTGCACTTCATCCATCACCTCATGAAAACATGGTGTTTGAAGAACCATTTGCAGGTATAAACATGATTGCGGCCTGGGTGGCGCTTGTGCTAGTTTCTCCACGCAACGCCTCATTTTTATCATTAGTTTCCAGGGTGATGATGAAAATAATGATTACTGCCAAATCATTGTATTTTCAGTCAATTGTAATATTGTTAATTTCTTCATTTTATATGTTCCTTGGTAACCCCTGGTAGTGTTGGTGCCTCAGCTGGAATGTGAAACAAGTATGACTTTGAATGTATAAACGGGGTATTAGTGATGGCCCAGTATAATTCGGTGCATCTTTATCAAAATGTTGGACAAGTTAGTATCTATATGTTTTTATATTTGTTGTACAAAGATGCTTCAGTTTCTTAGCCAAATTGGAGTGAATGACCTCATTTTTATTGAAAGAAAATGTTAATGGCTTCACATGCAAGCCAATATAATCAGTGGGCATAATAGTTTAAATTTTGTCGTGCAATCTTTCATATTTAAGTATGTTATTTGTTAGTGACCATTTTTGAATGATAAACTTATATATACTGCAATTTATATATAAAAATCTATACCTTGCAAAGAAATAATACACAGTTTATGTGATCTGGAGAGTGTGACAGATGAAAGGATGGAGGCAAGTTAAAAGGAGAGGCTTTTTTTCTGACCACTTTGCAGCATAACCTTGTAAGAATTAAAGAGAACATTACAAAGAAGTTTTATGCCCCAAATACAGAAAGTGGTGGGCATACAGTGTTACACTTGTCTCTCTTGAATTTCTTTGTTCTATAACTTTAGTAAAGTTTTGTGGATGGAATGAAACAATACACAATTTTATATTAAAAATAGTTAAGCCCGAGTCCCTTAATCAGGATTTTACAACCTTATCTATCAGTTATGGCTGCCATTTAAATCATAAAGTTTGACAAACATGTGGAAGCTAGCTACAGTATTTCTAACATGTTTCGTAAAAATACATATTTACGATAATTTTGTAGTTTGATTATGCTGAATGCTGTACGTATTTAAATCTTGTTAACCTGAAGATTTCAGAATATATTGATGAATCTGCAGTAAAACCACTAGGAGTAAAATCTCTGCAGGAAGTGAAGAAGGCCAACTTCACCAATTTTTCCATCATTTTAATTATTTATTGCGAACTAAAAATACAGTACCTGTACGTTATTATTGTAATACGAGGTTTTGTACAGTGATTGTTTTTTCTTCACAGTTTTAGTTTGTACAGTAGTTACTAAAAGTATTGACTGACGACTAAGATTTGTGGGTCGGATTCTCAAGCAGATGACATGGTCATCTTATAGTACTTGCACTAAAAGATATGATGGGTAAAGGAAATTAATGTTAATCAACAATTATGGTACTGTAGTAATGAATCATTATTTTTTTCCCTTTTCCATTACTACAGATTGAAATACTGTAGTATTCACCTTCTTGTAAAGATAACAATACAGTAGTTTAAATTAAATTATAACAACATGAAAGTTCAGTCCAGATATACAGTACTGAACATGTGTATTAATTTTTTTTAGGCATATTACAGTATACAGTACTGGTTTAAATATTTTTAAGCACATGGCAGACATACACTTAATTAGTTCCTCTTTATCCAAATGTCACATGGAGAAAATAGTGATAAGATGCCTATAGAAATAAATATATACTTTTTATGACCTATGGGTTATTGTGAGTGACCTGTGAGTCATACCATTAAATATCCTCTATGTGCCCTTCAGAGAGGTCATAACGGCATATATTGCACTATCCAGATGAACAAAGCCATTTAATGTAACACTCCTTATCCAAGTGATTCCAAACAAATTATAATACGTGAATCTGAAGGCGACTCAAGGTCCTGTTAGGTTTAAGGTTCACTTGAATCAATTAGTTCAATTTTACTTAACAGTCACATTCTTTAAACTTTCTTCAGTCCCAGAAAAAAGGAAGTTCATACTCCTTTCCCTTCAGTTACCTGCCACCATCCTTCAGACAGTTGACACATCTCTCCTGGTCAGTCTCCAGGGGAATTGGCAGGTTCTTATACTGTACAGTATAAATAATACATCTTATGTTATTTTACATTGCTCTTTAGCCTGGACTTGCGACATACAGGTGCCCCCCTATTTATGATGGAGTTGCATTCCTGAAAACCATTATGTAAATCATGGGATACGTTCCTGGCCTGACACACACGTAACACAGAAAAAACAATCCTACACTAAGTAAACACAAAAAATTGGACGACTCACCACACAACAATAAATAACATTAATGTTGGTTACACGATACAAAGTGCGTGACTGTAGTACGTACGGTGGCCTTGAGGTGGCACGCGGCTATCTTGGATTTGACAAGTGAAGAGAAAGATGCACTTCCCCAGTGTTTACACATTCTGTGTCAGCGAGTTTAGCCTCACGATAACTATCCTTAATGCGGATTTTGCGTAATGTAAATTGATCAAGGATGTTAAAACCTAATTATCATTAACGCGGAATATCATAAAACGGATCATCTTAAATCTGGGATACCTGTGGTTGTTCCACAGCATTAAGGTAAAGGTACATAGTTGTGTTCAGCTGCCAGGTTTCACCAACTTCACAGCAATTATTACTTTATTTATATTCATAACCAAAGTGAAATCCTGATGACAGTCAGAAATTGGGGCTAACACTTTTATCTTAAAACTGTGGTTTTAGTGATCTATGTCCACTTTGCTCAACATTTCAGTGTCAGTAAGAAGTTCCTTAAGAAAAATAAAATTGGTTGTAACTTAGTAATAATAACGGACTCATTCATACTCTTGCACTGTTGTGTTCACCAGACATAATGTACGAACTTTCTTTTAAGGTTGAAGCAGACAAGAGTATAGTACTGTTAATGATAATGACTTGGATGTGGTGCTACAGAGGAACCATTTCAGTAGTAATTATTCAAAATGAGTTGAAATATACCCTATAACTTTTGAAATTTGGCATCATATTATTGCTTTACTTGTGGTTATTAACTCGTTTTACCCCCTAGTACAACTGAAAGGTAAAATATTATCAAAATTATTTTTTTGCCAATACTAATATGAGGGGTTGTTTCTTCTCATTGTCTTATTCTCCTTCTGTCACATTCTATACAGCATGCCCTTATAATTCGTGGACTTCATTTATTTGCGGATGACACATTGGATGTACCCAAGAATGTCTGCAGATAGTTTTAAAGTTGCCGGCATTTTCACGGCCGGGACGGGG